ATTGAAGAGTGTTCAAAAAAGAGGTGAAATGAATTCCTTATAATGGGGTTCGTAATTACTGATCGAAAAGTAAAAATTAATCAGAATTACCGTAAATCTCTGAGCACTGAGATATATATCATTTTGCAAAGATTAACTTGTGAAGAAATATTTTGCTATTAATAGTTACAAAGCGACCTTGCATATGCCTTTCTTCCGATTAAGACCAAAGTGACCTTTTTTTTTTGTTTTTTTTCTTTGCAACTTGTCAACTTGAAAACAGGAGGGACTGTCCTGTATGCAAATAAAATATATTTTCGAATTATCAACCATTCGAAAACTATGAAAAGCCTACAACTTGGTAGAGAATTTCGAAAATTTTACGCATTTTTAAGGAGTTATTTTAGTAAAGATTTCGCTTCGAATTTGATCTGAAGGTGGATATATCATTTCCATTTCTTTTCCACTATTTCTGGCGAAACTATTCGAGAAAGTAGTCAAAATTCTTAAGAAGTGTATGTATTATTAAGCTCGCATGAAACATTGACTATATGATGCCAGAAGCAATAATAATTAATATGCCGCCAAACAAAAGTTCATAGAAATTTATATGATATCTAAATATGTGAGCATGTGCATACATGTTTGCCTCGCTGAGGCAAACTGAGAAGTAATAGAAATTTATAAATATTTAAAAAAAAGTATATGTTTCTATTTATTTATTTACAGATACACATACCACAGTTTAAGTAAATATAACGAACGACAATATTAACAAAAAAAAAATAGAGAAACATTTAAAAACAAGTAAAGTAATTTAAAGCAAATATCGACTCGAAATTAAAAAAAATCGATTGAACGAAAATGAAGTTAAAATAAAGAAAAGAAAATTGCACACATATATATATAACTATATATATATATACGTATGTATATGTAAAGAAAAACTTAAAAGTTGACAAACCACCTTTACACACCCATTACAATCGGCCAATGGCAAAATAATAAATTTTGACAAACTCAACCAATTTACAAAAGTCTAAAGCAGAAAGTTTTACTTTTGCATATTCTAGAATTTTATAGAATAAAACTTCAAAAAAACAAAAAAAAAACAAAAAAAAACAGAAAAAAGAGAGAAAAAAGTATTTTTATCTATTTATCTAAATTGAAATGAAAAATAATTTCTGAATGATTTCTACAGTGAATTTTCGTTTCTTTTTTTGTTTTAACGTGTAGAGCGAGAGAGGAAATCATCTAAAATATTATAGAGCATATGAGAGCAATTCATGCGTAATAAATCTACAACAAGGCGTGAGATAACTTGTGCAGCAACTTGCACGCATCTCTCTCATTCGTAAGAGAGAGCATAAAAAAAACCAGAAATTTTCTCTCCCCACCCCCCCCGTCCCTTTCA